GCTTATGTCTCTCTCAGCTCTGATGAAAGTGCGAACTGTTCTCTCATTGACTTTTCAGGGAAAAACCTATCCCAATAAATTCCTTCTCACAGCTACTTTCTTTTGGAAGTAGTAGTCCAATAGCCTAAGGTGGTAAAATAGGAGCAGCATTTATTAATTGACTGATTGTCCAATCTGTCAACAAATATTTATATGATGTTTCCTATGAGGTTAACACTGTGCTAACTCCTCTCTTAAGAAATAAGAAAAATATAGGACAAGACTTCAAACCTCAAGTTAGGGTTCCAAATTGACTAATTGTGAAATGATTATAAAGCAGCCACTAAATTTAGATGCAGACAGCAATGTCTTCTGAACAAAATAGCTACAAATGATTGTTTTCTCACTGTCTTAGTTATTTTCTCACTGTTCAGACAAAATATGGACACACAGTTAAAGGAAGAAAGGTTTATTGTAGCTCACAGTTTGTACAGGTATCAGTTCATAGCCGGCTGGCACCAGGGCAGGGTGGCATGGTAGAGGAGCATCTTAGAGGAGAAACAGTTCATGGAAGGAAGAAGGCAGCAAAGCAGTGAAGCAGCAAGTGATGACAGCAGCCCTCTTACCGTCTCTTCTATTATACCTGCCCTTAGGGTGGGTAGCACTCATACCCAGGGCGGGCCTTCCCATTATTCACACCCAGAACTATGCCAAACCAGTCAGTGGACTAATTTAGTTACCACACACCCTTGATCCCACCATCACACACTTAATCCCAGCACCATATAGTCTAGATCCAGTCATCTCTGAAAAGCCCCACCTATGACCACATGAGGCTTTGGGGGAACATTTAGAACAAGCCATAACACCCTAGGAAATGAGAAGGTGATCCACTGTAGCCCCCTTATTTCATTATTTCCTGACATGGAAGGCAGTAAGAAGTTACTGATGTTTCATAAAAGTGTGACAAGGAAAGGGAACACTGAGAATTTGGCTCTGTGTGTGTGTGTGTGTGTGTGTGTGTGTGTAGTAATGGTATTAGAGAGACCAACTGGCTACTGTCAAGGTACAAGTTATCATTTTTTGAAGAATGTGAGAAGAATAGGGAACATGGCTAGGAAAATGAAGTGAGAAGAGTAAATTTAAGAGATAGTAAGAGTAGCACTTGAACAGCAACAGGTAGAATCCAAGGCACCAGCAAGTCTAGGGCTCAAGGTTACGGCCATGTGGATGTAGAGATCAGAGAAATAGAAAGATCCAAACATGATCTAAGGTGTCCACCAATAGATGAAACCTCAGCTTCACACATCCCACAAAGACCACACAGTGGACACAATCATGGCTTAGGATCTGGTTTTCTTGCAAACTGAATGCCTTGGCAAGTTCTGAAACTTCCATGAGTGTCAGCTTCCATGTTGTAAAATGAGAATAGACTCTGCTTTATAGCATGTGATGGCTTTGGTCTAAAGCGGCACCCAAAGCCTCATGTGTTTGGATGGTAGCTGGATTATGGAGGCATTATAGTTGATTCGCTATTAGGAGGTGGAAGAGTTGGGTCTATGTGGGTGTGATCTGGCAGGGTGGATCCTCCTTTCTGGCTCTTTTGTTGACTCTCTCTGCTTCCTTGCCACCCTGATGTGCGCAGCTTTTCTTCTGCTCTGCTCCTTTGCCATGCGGTCCTGGTTTGGAGCCAGGGGACTATGGCTTGAAACCTCTACAAACTGTGAGCCAAAATCACCTTTCTTCTTTTAAGGTGTGGGTGTCTGGTATTGTGTCTCAGTGATGAGAAAGTAACCAAGATGCAACTTTACAATAGTAAAGTTTGCATGATGTAGCACAGACAAAGGGCTGACACTTTGCCTTGGCACATGTGAGTGCTCCATCATGGCTAGCTTTTATTACTAATAGCCCCGTATTAACTGAGCATCTATTATGGGCACACACTGTGACCCATGCAAGAATTTAAAGAGGAAATAGGCATGATCTCTGATCTGATACTGTCTCCAATATTGGGAACTAGGAAGAAAATGTTCAAATGGGAAGGGAGCAAGGAAAGGGGAGGGGGAAGCGAAGGAAAGGAAAAAGAAGAGAATAGAAGGAAAAAATGGAAACAAAGCTTCTGTAAATAAGGAGGGGAAGAAGGGCTGAAGGAACGGGAGGGGAATGCAGAAAAAAGAAGAATCAAGATATACTGTGTACAGGTACAAATCCCTATAATGAATGTGATCGTTGTGTATATCCAAAGTGTACCAATACCATTAATTAAGGAAGAAGATATTGTCTCCTATATGGGGAGAATTGTCCTCAACATTTCCTATAGTGCTTCTCTAGATTAACTAAAACGGCACCTCTCTTGATATGGGCCAAGGAAGAGCTGTGGAGCTCTACATCTGTATTTCTCCTCATATTCTATCTATATCTCATCATGTGGGGACCAAGTTATTATCAGAAAATAGGCATCTTGAACACCAATCTACAGCCCTGGCTAGCAAGTCACTGCCCTGTTCACCCCTCGGAGAGAGCGCTTATTTCCTTTTCTCTCTTCTTTCTCATGGACTAACCAAAGTAAGAAACCCAGACACCCTAGATACTTGTTACATCAAAAAGGCCCTAAATATGCCTCAAGAAAAAAGCCCTCAGAAATGTTCTCTTCAAATATGTGAGTATAGTTTTAGGATGCTTCCTATATTTGAAACTTGTCTATATCACCTGGATTTGTCCTATGAAAGAGAGTTAGATGCTGTAAAGAAACTGTGACATTGCTTTGCTCTTCTCTGCTCTCCTTCTTACACAACCACACCAATCCCTGTACTGCCTTTCATGGCTAGGATGTTTCAAGAATGAGAAACAAGTGTTTCCTCATAAAGACTATTGGAACTTGGACCCGGGCTTCTGGACCTGGCACCTGGAAGGTGGTAGAGCCTGATCACAAGAACGTCTCCAGGATTCTTGATCAGGGTGCTTTCCCTAAGGACTCAGAAGTAGATTTGCCTTCCTTCTCCTCTAAGGGAGTGAGTGCCCTGCCAGCGGCAATTTTCTGGGTCACTAGGTAGTTTAAGAAGGCCAACTCCTTGGTTTCCTAAGGGCAGAGAAGCAAATAAGGAATAGGTCTCTTAATCTCCATAATAGGCTGCAAATGCAACAAAAAGTACAGAAGAAAAATTTTGTAGGTGAAAGGGAATTGCAAGGTAAGGGAGGACATCTCTGTATAATTGGCTGACATCCTTCATTTGAATGTGCAAGGAATTTTTGCAGTATTTGTGCTGGGCCTGATATCTGGATCTTTGTACTCTCTTACTCCCTTCTCTTATTGTTGCCGAAATGAGATTTGGTCAATTCCAGAAACTGCTATTTTCTCTCTGTCAAAGTCCTATTAACTGGTTCCATTTCAATAGATGGACTCTTTTGGATGGTATGTAGACCCTGGACATCTGCAAAGCTTGATGATTTCGAGAGAGACAAAAATCTCTAAGCTCATGAGCAGAGAAACATCTGAACCAACTCCTGGCTTGCTCCCAAACCACATGTTTCTGATATGGTTGTCTCATCTCACAGGTTAACCACCTTTTCAACTCAAACTGAAGTTCAATCTATCACATTTTGGGATTTTTCTTTTTCCCTCCATACAAACTAGTTTTGATTAAAAGAATAAGAACAAGAACAACAAAATACATTTGTGAAAGTTCTTTTAAGGGCAGCATTGAATGAAGAACTATACTGACTTATGGAGCAGGGTGATTAGGGGGCTCCCTAGCTACAGGAACAGGTTCAAATCCAGATGAGTACTGTGTGTTACAGGCCTTCACAGTTGTTTATGATTAGTCTAAATTGAGAACTTCAGTCTCAGGAGTCCCAGGCTTCCTTCCTGTCCATGGTTCTTCCTTGGGCCTCTCAGATCACAGGTCCCGAGGACAGGTAACAGTGCCCTTCATGGACCTCTAGGCAGAGGGAGGAACAGCAGGAATATGGCAATAATGAAAGTGACTGTGAAATAATAAAGGATGTTTATCACTATGACTCTGGGCCTATTAAAGAATCAAGGAAAGAGAAACCTCATATCTCTTCATGATCCATGTCATCTTGCCTACAAATTAGACTTGAGGCAATGTTTAATGAAAGATAAATGTAAAGTATAATTTTGCAAACAGGAACAGAAGATCAAAAACTGTACATAGGAAAGGGAAAAAGCTTATCAAAAACCTGCACGGATATAACTGGATATAACTACTGTGATGGAGTATGATGCTTAGTTCAGAATTCCCTGCTAGCTGAAGGAAAAAGGAAAAAAGTCAAGAAATTACACTTTAGGAGAGACAGACTTTCTCTTGGCTAATACCATATTTGTAGATTCTGAAATAAACTCGTAATGTGGAAATTATGCAAAGGGAATCCTTTGCATAGCAAATGACATAGCAAACTATGCCTCAATGGTTTTTTTTTAAAAAACAACCTAAATATTTCTTATATAGCCATTCCTATGTTTTCCCTTAATAATAGTTTAAACACAACCATTAAAAATACTTAGTATTTTTAATACTATACCTCAGGGGGAAAAAAGCAAAATAGTAAATGTTATTAAGTAATAGGGAGAGTGAGGAGCAGATAAAGATAGAAGTAAAATAAAAAGTGCAGAATGGTACTAACTGTTGAAATTGGGTGGAAGGTACCTGAAGGCTCACTGTACCATTCTATTTACTTGGTATATATTATAATTTTTCCGTAATAAAATATTTGTAAAAAGTAGGTGAAAGTATTTGGCAGCCAGGGAAGTTAAGCCAACATGTCATCCAACAGTGACCATGTTCTATTTGGTGAAATTTTAAATTAAATAGATATGATTTTATTCTGGATCTTTGGAGATTAGTTATCCAGGTTGTGGTGCACTTGGTGATATTCAAGACCAGCCCCTAAGCACTGCAGATTTTTCCACATAAGCGTGCACCTTCCCAGCTACGCACAGTAGCAGGCTACTGACACATCTAAGACAACAAGGAGCAGAGGAGAAAGGCAGATTCAGGTACCTTCACTGCAGTTCTTCAGGGCAAAAAAGTCCACTGCAGACAGACTTCGGTTTCCACTGGAGATGTATTCCAGGGCCACTCGGAAGGGGTTCTCTGGGCGCCCGACTCTTCCGTGCAGCACTGTCCAGCTGGGTGCATTGGAGATCAGAGGAGGAAAAGGACAGAGAAAGAGTGATGAGAAGCAGGCCTCACCTGCAGAAAGAGTCGTGCTCCTGCAGTGACCTCGGGGCTCAGGATTCACGGGCACCCCTGGAGGTGCTGAGGGCGGTGACCCTGAGTGCAACATGTAAACTTTGCTTCCTTCTTGTCCAGCTAGCTAACGTAGGGACACAATTCTGGAACTCATTCAAGCCACTGGCATTTCTTTTGCCATATTATTTCAAAATCAACCATAGATCTTTGAACTATTTCGGTAGCTCGTCTTATAAGGGAAGCCTACACATACTTGAGAAAACTCAGCAGCAGAGTCAAGGAGAAGTCTTCAAAATATTTACCAGTCTATTCATCATCATCTCTGGAAAGAATACTTGGTATCTGGAGTTTTATCTGATACCAAAGTCTCAGAGCTCTCAGGTTTGGTATATAGTTACTTAAGGGAAGCTAGCAAGAGTTTTTTATTTACTGCAGGAAAATTAAAGTGCACTGAAGCATGTATTTTGGGGTAAAAGGTACCTAAGATTGACATGGACTTTGCAAAAAAGTGCAAACAGAAGAAGATGGAAGCAGGTCAAATGGTGAGCTCTGCATCCACCTGTAATCAAGGGCACTGACACCATCAGAGAGCAGAGAATAAGCTAAATGAACATTTTTACACCTTGCTCATGCTATTAACCTCTTAGAATAGCCTCTTCTCACTGATTGGAATATCAAATTTATTCTTTCAACATTTCTATATGCATATATAATTTTGTCTATGTATGTACATATATAAATATAAACATATACAACACACAAACATAAACTATTTTGTGTGGCGAATGGAAATCACTTGTACTATTTCATATTTTCCTTTCTCAAAAAAACAATTTTACTGAGATATATTTGACATATAATGAATTACACGTACAAAAAGTACATAATTTGATGAATTAAAGTGTATAAATTGATGGGTTTTGGCTTGAGTATTCACCCATGAAGTCATCACAATATTTTCTTGTTTTCTCATGGCTAGACTCAGGTAGGACAGTATAAGTGGCAAGGAATTTAGGGAAAAACTAGTTTTTATTTAAAATTTATCATCTTGCTCCAAAAGTATAAAGTGATGATCACTGCAAAAATTAAAAAAAAAAAACCTCAACCAATCAGAAAAGTAGGTAAAAGAAGATGAGTTATCCATTGTGAAGTTATAATCACAGACACCACATTGGTGAACAATCTTTCAGGTGTCATTTTACATGAGACCACACTCAATGCTGTGTCCTGAAACAATAAATATAGATTATAACGTCATTTACTTGATTGTATGTGTGTGTATATATATATATATATATATATATTCTTTTTTTTTGGTACTGGGGATCGTACTCAGGACCTTGTGCTTGCAAGGCAGGCAGTGGCACCACTGAGCTAAATCCCCACCCCTACTTGATTGTATTTTTAATGAACGTGCATTGCTTCTGATTTTTTCTGTACATCATCATGCTGAAGCTATGTATGTTTATCTCAATACTACCTTAGGACAAAGTCCTAAATCAGAGTCAAAGTGTATGCCCAGTTAAAACTCAGAAGCATATTGTCATCTTCCATAGTGAATCAATAGCCCATTTCTGCTGTTGCTTGCTAACACTGGATCCTGTCAAATCCTTCGTGTCTCTGCTAACTTTTGGTGAGGATGGTATTACCTCAAGCAATCAATGATCTCTCACGGGGATGCTGCTACTTGGTGGCAGTTTTGTCTCTAGCCCTGGCATGCAGCTGGGCATGCAGTGGGTATGTGCTGAGTGAAGGAGGTACTTTGCTCTCTCCGTGCTCTTCTGTAGTTAATTCAGAGCACTGGAGTCAACTCCTCAGCCATTTAATAAAAGTGTATTAAGTTTCTCCACAATAGGTGCTATAGAAGGGCTTATTGCTGCTGTAAAGTTTGTTCTGTGTTACTGTACCCACAAGGATTTCTATCCAAAATAAAACCAGAGTAACGGAATGAGGAAAAGGAGACCTTTCGGTTTAAATGTGGTACTGTCAAAGAAAGAAATATTGGAAAAGAAAATGTAAACGAGGGGTTCTTAAAGAAAACAAGCAAACAAAGAATTTGTCTTCTTCTGAAACATAAAGGACCCCATTTTGTTGAAAGATGGTAGTAAAAGGGATGAGTATTCATATCTGCCAAAATCGTAGCTCTCTGCTCTGAGGAATGATGGATTTTAATTCCAGGTACACAGTGGCCCTTGACAATGATTTCCATTTCTATATTGGTGCTAGCCCTCCGGATAAATGTGTCAAGAGTTTTAGGAATTAGTTTCTGAGTTACTGATGCAATAACTTTTGTCTGAAATTCTCTGGCCTCCCATAGTTTACTGCTGCAACTTTAATAACTTTGAGAGCAGTTGCCAAACATGTAGCATTTTATATCCAGGGGGGCTGGGACTAGAAAAGGGCAAGCTTATACCTAGGGTCAGATTTGTTTGAGACTGACAAAAACCCAGTGAAAAACAAATGCAAGCTCTCTTCCCTGCCTGCCTCCATTTTCTTTGTTTACATCCCAGCGCTCAAGAAATTAGCTCATTAGGGTCCTGATTGCCTTGCTTTGCCAGGTGGCAGCTCTACTTACAGGGGTATAGGTTGGACCCTGACCTAGAGCCGCAGGAAACAATCACAGCCTAGAAACAAATCTGCAACTGTATCCAGGTGCTGGGGATTTGTAGCCGTCTTAGCGCTGGTTCCTCGATCAATCAGTGTGACAGTGCAGGGTGTTCACCTGGAATGGAGGAAGCCAGAAGGACCCTATGGGCAGCCCATCACAGTTCATTATCTTCTGTATGTCTCTCTGGAACTCTCTACTTCCACTTTTGCCTCTGCCCCTCATTTGCTTGATAAGTTTGAACAAGGCACTTTCCTCCAATGCCTGAAGTTTTGGATGTTTTCTGATCAATTGTAATTCTCAGGCAGAGAAAGTGCTACCAACTTTGTGTGAATTTTCTGAGAAAAACAGAGACACCCACTTCTGGTGAATGACTACATCCTAATGAACACAATAGAATCTATCAAAAAACAAAAAGGAAGGAGGGTTGGTTTGTGAATGTCAAGGTCCATTTCTGGTCTAGAGGCCAGAGGTAGTATTCCCCAAATTGGGAACTCAGTCCTAGACTCTGGTCCTGGATTTCCTTGGACCTAGGTAAGTCCTGAACCTCCTTGGGTTTTAGCTTCCTTATCAGCAGAATGTGGGCATTGAATGAAAAGTTCTCTAAGGATCATTATTGATCTGATGCCTATACTTCTTCATGAGATTACAGGAGTCCTAGTGACAAAACATTTTATGAAAACCCTGGAAACTGCAATTAAAAAATAATATCTCACAGCGATGAGAGAAGAGTGATTAGTCATAAAACCACAGGTCCATTTATGCAGAGGCTCCATTCCATCCTTCTTAGAGGAATAGAGACTTATCCAAGGTCATCAATTGGGTTTCCTATAGACCTAAAATTAGTATTCTTCCTAGACTGCAAGAACATGAGACAGTACAACATATGGATTGCTTTCATTTCATAATCACTTGCATTTCACATCACTAAAATCACAAGGGATAGAGAAGGATATATCTACATAGCATTGTCTCGGTTTTGAGGAGAAACACTCAATCCAGACAGTGGAATATACTGTCAAAAAATCATGAATCTCCAAGATGGAAACAAGAAGAGTCTCCCCCCACCCCATTAGTCTCTACATGTTTAAAGGAAACTGTCTGGCATGTCTGATGGAAGACAAACTACTGATGAGACTGAAAGGTTGGTGGCCATGACTCAAGAGGGTGAGGCACCAAGTTATTTTATGTCCAGAATGAAAGGGCTGTTCGTGACAGCACGTGAGGCCATGGATGGCAAGTAACAAGACAGAGAATGTGTTTTACTTTGCTGCTTATAATAGCCCAATGGGCATAATACTGGTATCAGCTGCCTCACAAAAGGAGTCCTCTAACCCTACAAGCTACTTACAGGGTTGCCTTTCTGAGATAGTTTTGACTGCTGCAAACAATACAGTGAGGGCTACACTTGGTCCGCACCTCTACTCTCTGCCAGCTACGTGACCTTAGAGAAGTGATTTAACTTAACTGAGCTTCTGTTTGCCTTATTCTTTTTTTATGTTTTATTTTTAAAAATTTTTAAAAATTAATTTTACTGGTACATTTTAGTTATACAATATAACGACATTCATCATTGGAAATTTGTACCTTTATGTAATCTCTCTTGGTTCTTATTTTGTTCCCCATTCTCCTGCCTTCCCTTCAATCCCTCCTCCGCTCCCTACATACAAAGACTGTTTCCATTCCAAATTTTTTCATTTTCTCATATTAATTCCATTCCCTTCTTTCCTTGCCTTCTTGTTAAGATTGGCGGTCATAGTGACAGGCTTGCTGGATGCAGTGAGGATTTGTGAGAAAGATGCATGCAAAGTAACTAGAGCAGCTCCTTGCACACAGTAAGGCCTCAACAAAGGAAGCTGCTCTTACAGGAGTCTGTGGCCTTCTTCATGGAACCACACTAATCCATGCAAACATCTGTACCTCATCTCATTTGTGAAATTCAAGGTGGGAAGGGATGTAGTCAGTAAAAGAGGATGGGAAAGGCATTTACAGTTTCTGAATAGCAGCCACCATATTTTAACAAACAAAAAACTTAGTTAAATGGATCTTCATATGATAATCCCCAAATTATGTCGAAATACCTCTGTAGCAAGATATATTGGATTATGATAGCAGACTAATATTCGTCTCAGAACCCTCCAAAAGCTCCCATCTCTTTTTACTGTAAAATCTCTTTTCTGTCTTTGCAATTTCCTGTATCATGTGAAAAGATGCTTTGTGTCTAGTTCTACCTTTGAGTTGAGTCACATTCCATTTTCCAGGTATTTTCTGATATACTGTTGCACACTAGATAAAGTATAGATGCCCTAGGTGTAGGATTTTGCTTACACT